AAAAGCCTCATCTCAAGTCTTCTTATTTGGCTTTATTGAAACTTGGGAAATAAAAGGTGCCATACAGAGACTTCACCGATTCCTGGCAAAATATACGTAAAGTGTCACCTCTTGTGGTAACATAAAGGAATTGCACAATAATGATATTGGAACTAGTTCCAGTCTTCCTTCTCATTAAAGAAATTTTAATCACATGTTCAATCTCAACCTGAAAAACTGTTCCTAAAGGAAGATTTCTGAAAAAATCCTCCATAAATTCAGCCAGGTTTGATTGAGTTGGAGGGTTTTCAATGCCAATCACATGTAGATTTTTCCTATGCAATTATGACTCTAAGTAAGTAATTTGTTTATCCAAAATATTATGACTGGCTTGAGTTATTGTCTCATGGGCATTTAATCGATCTTCATAACAAGCTATTTTTTCTTGTGTCAGTTTTAAATCACATTTAAATTCTGCCAGAACTTGTTGGATTGGCTTCAAGACTTGTACTTGAGCCAGGATCTCTTAACAAGTTAATAGAAGAATCCTCCTCTGCCATCTTTCCTGGCCTGGCAGATGGTGATGCAGCTGATATTAAGCCAGCTGTTGAACATTTGGGTCTAGTTGCCATCCCAATAGCTCATTAAAAACAAAATAATATATAATTAAAAGTTTTATTTACCTAATTATCAAGTCTTTGTCCACACAGTCCAATAATACAGAAGTTTGAAAACACTTTAATTGGGAGAGAGACAAGAGACATGTACTCACAGTACCATCATAAACAGGAAGTCCACCTCAAGGTCAGCTGTAAATTCCTTTACAGTACCAAATACTGGAAATGGGAGGAATACTCAGGATATGGAAGTACCCAATAATGAACATATGAATACAGGAAAGAATGTAACCCAAAGATTTCAAGTTCTCCATAGAGCAAATTGGGAATAAATAGGAAAAATTAGGCTAACATGATTTAGTAAGCATTACTTAAACTTATTTTTAATAAGTTAGGAGGAAACTTATTAAAGGAATGCAAGTACTGAGGGATTCAACATACTCAGAAAGAATAGGCCAGACAAAAGGGAACAAAGAATGGCATTATAATGTGCAGGAAATGCACATATGTACAGATAGTCCTCGGTTAACGAGCATTCATTCAGTGACTGTTCAAAGTTATGACTGTACTGAACAAGGAGACTTACAGTTGGTCCTTGAAGTTGCAGCCATCGCAGCATCCCCACAGTCACATGATTGTGATTCGGGTGCTTTGCAACTGGCTTGCAATTATAATAGTCGCAGTGCCCTGCAGTCCCATGATCACCATTTGCGACCTTCATTGCCAGTTTCCAACAAGCAAAATCAATGAAGAAGTTGGCAGGAGGTTGCAAATGGCGATCATATGACATTGTGCCTAATGACCACAACTGGAACTGCTGTTGTAAGTCAGCATGGTCATGTGACATCGTGCCTTACGACTGTGTTGCTTAGCGATGGAATTCACGGTCCCAATTACTGTTGTTAACCCTATATTGAGATCCATAAATATGAATACAAGAGTTCAGTCAAGGGCATTTGGGTAACAATATAGGAAGCAGAAATAACAAAAATTATTATTACATAAACAACAAAAATAAAATCAGGCGGAAGTTCTGGATAATGCCCTCATGGACCAGATTACAAAAATTTCAAGGGACAGAATGACATACTACTAATGGAACACTTTAACTATTTGGAAATCTGTTGGAAAACCAACCAAGCCAGGACTGCAAGATCCCCTAAATACCTCAGTGCTCACTGTTTGATTTTTCAGAAAGTTAAACGAAAGACGAGGTGATTGTCTTTCTTATATGTAATCCTAACAATGAGGAAGAGCTGGTGGAAGACATATCAGCAATTGAATTTTTTGCAGGAAGTGACTATGTATCTAGGGTTTCAAGATGCTACTGAAAAAAAAATTGGAGCATAGTCATGTTATACTAGATATCAGGACAGCCAATTTCAATAAACTTAGAGAATACTAGGCAAGATTCCATAGTCAGAAGTCTTCAGGTCAAAGGGGGCACAGGAGAGTTGGGAACTTCTGAAAACAAAGATACTAGAAATATGTTTGTCCCCCATTCCAGTGAGGGACAGTTTAGGAAACCATTGTAGATGCAGAATTTCAACAAAGTTAAGAGTTAAAAGAGACAGGTATAGGAGGATGTGTATAATCACCAAGGAGTTGTATAGGTAGTCCTCATTTAACAACTGTTCGTTTAACAACAGTTTGAAGTTATGATGGCCTCAAAAAGTGCTTTACAACCTGTACTTGCACTTACCACTGTCACAAACTGTCACACCACCTGCCCACAGTCACGTGATCATGATTTGCAACCTTTTTTATGATGGTCATTAAGTGAATCACTGCAGTGCTTTAAGCAAATCACATGGTCATTAAGCAAATTCTGGCAAAAACCTCCATTGGGGAAACTGGATTTGCTTAACAACCACATTATTTGTTTAATGACCATCATAAAAATGGTCATAAAATCAAGTCCAATCATGTGGTGACTTGCTTAACAACCACCCCGCTTAATGATCAATTTTCTGGTCCCTATTGTGGTTGTTAAGTGAGGACTACCTGTACTAGGAAGCAGCTAATATCTGCAGGAAAAAAATGTCAAAAGAAATTTAGGCTTGAAAGAAAAACAATGTCAGTAGAAAAAGAAAGAGGGCTCATTGCTAGGAGAGGATGAAGGTGACAAGATAGAGTTCCTCAACTACTACTTTGCTTTGGACTCCTCTCCAAAGGAGAATTGTATGGAAATGGACCTAAGCAAAATAACTGGCATAAGGAGGAAGTGATGACCCAAGGTGAAAAAGGAGATAGTTGGGGAACACCTGGCTACCATGATTCCAGGAACAGACCAATTATACCCAAGAGCCTTCAAGAATGTTTTTAAAATGTTAAAGATTAACAGATTGGATGTGTGTCAAATTTGCAAGAGGCTGATGGGGAGTCCTAAGGCAAGCCCTGCCCTTTTTGAATGCAAATGCTACATCAAAACATGTACAAGATAGTGGGCTTGTATCATGCTACCCTGTCCATCATCTTGCCATATCTTTCAACACCTCTGCCCACATCCTCCCAATCAAGATCTTTGATATACTGAAATTGAATGCATGAGGAATAAATGGGGTAACAGGAAATATTTGTAGTGCTTACATCTATTCCTAATGCTATCTTGGAAAACCATTCCTGGGCCTTCCAGAAAAAGGAGGATAGTAAGCAGCATATTTTTTTCTATCCTTGGTTAGCCACAAATGGTAATTCCAAGTTCTGTAGTTTTCTCTCACTTCATGTAAATTTCAAAAGGTCATACTGCACTTGAGAAAACATTAAGAGTGCATGCACAAAAAGAACATGTACAGGTGTATGGTAGCAGCATCCTGTATTACAGTACAGTTCTACATTTTCCTTAAGAAAACTGCCGTCTCCATCCCAAAGTCTGCGAAGTCGATACTACGAAGAAACATGAGTTAGGATTGCGACACAACTAAGAACCCGAACTGGCAGGGATCTAAAACGGTAGTAATCATCTCTCCACTGGTCTTCTGTACTTCATGAGTGAGTGCGGATGCCTGCAGTCCATACTAGAATGACGAGGCTCATCTCCTGCGCAAGCCGATCGGGGCAAGAGGTGGGGAGAAGGGCGGTGCCTGGCAGGATACCACGGCGAGCGGGCGCGCCAAGCCGCGGCTTAGCTGGAAGCCGGCGGGAAGACTTGTGAGGCAAGCATCAACAAATCTTCCCGGACTCGGTAGCCCTGACGCACAGAGACTATGGCGGGGGACAGCGAGCAGGGGCTCCAGCGCTGTGGGGAGTTCGCTGGTGGAAAAAAGCCTTTCCTCATTGGAGTTAGCGGAGGGACAGCCAGCGGCAAGGTGAGCAGTTCCGTTGCAAGGCGGTCAATCAAAGCGTGGCAGTATTTTCCAGAGCTGGGCAGCGCGCGTCTCAAGACTCGCCGAAGTTCCTGTTCCAGATGTCGAGAACAGCACTGCCCATGCTCGGCACTCTTGACTTTAAGCAGAAGATTTGGGACTGAGTCATTTTTCTCGGGTATATATTAGGATTTAAACTTAGATCCAGCTGCTTGCGTGCGTGAATGGTATCTTTCTTTACACGCACAGTGTGCGTCTGTACAGTGTTTCTACCACGTGCGCGAAATACTTTCATTCTCAAAATGAATCCCGTGCACGTGTTATCGGGAGGCATTTCCTTCCTCCCCTGAAAGGGCAGCCCGGAATGGTGCACCGTTGGGGGGCGGCAAGATCGCGAGTAGACCAGCACAGCCCGATTGGGCGCTTCGCCGTCGCTCGAGAGGTTCCCGAGAGTCTTAGCTGCTGCATATGCTACCCCGCCCTTGCTGCCAAGCGGGCGGGGCGGAGCGGAGGAGCAAAGGAGGTCCGCTCGTCCTTGGAACCTGCGGTCGTCTCTTGTTGCGGCTCGGTCCCAAAACGGGGCTTTCCTCCCTCCAGCGACTCTCGGCTCTGTTAACAGTCATTGATCGTTAACTAACACTCATATGCCAAATACATTTTGAAAATAAAAATGGACTTCGGATTTGGATGGCGAGGACCGTGGAGGCAGACTATTTAAGAATTTGTGAGGTTTCTTCCATTCTTATCAGCTAGTTTTCTCCCACAACTCTGAGTTGGAGTAGTGAGCTTCTAAATCTATAGCGGAGATTCTGAGTCTTCAGAAGTTGTTAGTCATTACTAGTAACTGGGGCATTGGGCAGGATATACTGCATTCACAACTAGAGCTACCAGAAGTGGGCTGCGAAAATAAGGACCACACTGTCTAGTGGTCCTCCAGATTTTTGCAGCCCACCTTTGGTAGCCTTAGGCACAGACCCACAAACAGTGGATGTCTCCACCGTCCCAGTCCAATATGCACTTTTGTTGGGTTGCCTGGAAAGCTTTTGTGGTATAAGAAAGCTGTACAGTGGGGCTTTGTTCTGCTGGCTTTTTTATAGCATTAAGAAAAGGATCACTAGCTGCTCTGATTTCCTTTCTGCCATGAGACCTTATTCTGTAAAATATTATTTATGGTATAGTGATAGCAGAGGCATACTGTAGTGTGTGTGTGCACACAGATTTCCTAGAGTCCGATACAGCCTTACTCGGGAATAAATCTCCAAGAATTTATAGTACAGAAAAACATAAGATGATGCAGTTAGATGAATGTATCATGAATGTGTGTTCAACATAGCACAGAATTGTAGGCTTGCAGCCATTATATTATGATGGAAACAGAAGCTGCCTTGTAGATACTATAATCCAGGAGTAGTTTTTAGGACTATACTGTGAGAGAGTTCATATCCTCAAAACTACTCATTTTGATTTTGACTGGTTTTCTTTAAACCTACAGTACTAAAAGTATATCCTATTAATACAAAGTTATCTTCTCTTATTTCCTTCCTGCTAAAAATGTGTTTCACTACAGCTGGATACATACATACAGACCCAATATTTATTTATTAAGATTTCTATGCCACTCTTCTCCCAATGGTTCAGAATGGTGTACATAGAAATCAGCAAAAAATTAAAAACAACATTAAAATGGTACTGGCCAACATGGGTAAATGCCAACACATAACATCCCTTGAATGTTGCCTTCCAGAGTCACCTTTTTATTTCTTTTCATAACTCATTAGAGAGGAGGTAGTCCTTATATATGAGGTCACACTGTTCCTTGAGAGGGGCACCACCATTGAGAAGTCCTGCTCTGGGGTCCCAGGAAATGGAACTCTCTTGAAGATGGCACTTTAAGCAGCGCCTCTTGTTCTTAGTTCTTATTTGACAGACTTACCTTTCAGGGTATGTGTCATTATACCAAAACCAGAACAGAGTGAGAAGTAGTAAGCAAGAGAATTTAGAGCAGGAGAAAAGAGAATCTAATTAAATGTACTTTACACTAACTCTCTCTCCACCTTTCTGTCTTTTCAAACCATTCTTGCTTTTACCATCTCCATACACATACATTGTATATACATATACACTACACTACAGACTACCTTGTAAGCCAACATACTGTTGCCTGCATGAAAGCACCGAGATACAGAATATGCAGAGATGGCCTTGAAGAAGAAACTTAATAGCCATTATGTAAGCATCAGTTTAGCCTGGGTAGACAAAAAGGGAGTGAGGAAAAAACTCAAGATTGCCCTGCCTTGATCATGTTTGGTATAAGAAGGGAGAGTGAGATACTCTGCCAGGCTTTCATTGTTATTAACCCCTATAACAGTACCGTGCCAATTGTGGTGTCTGTTTCCTGACCTGATCCACCTGCCAGCCTTTCAGGATACTGTGAAGGTAGAAAATTAGTCTTTCAGATTCCTACCTCTGGTGAAGTCCAGATATTGGTCCTGTTCACATATCATAGGTGATTCAGGCATCTTCTCTCCCCAACGGTTGACTCAACCTTGTATACCAGCAGCTCACAATTGCCAGCTAATATTTAAATCTAGCATCCTTAAATAAATTATTCTATATTTTGTACTCTGAAATGAGAGAAAACAGATCTTGACACACACACACCCCTCCTGCCTGACATGCTTTCAAATATTTGAGGAGTGCTATAGTATCCTCTCTCAGTGTTTTCTAGGCCAGATATATCCAGTTTCTTCAATGCCTCTTCATAGGACTTAATATGTAGTATGAGACACCAACTATTGTGACTCTGTCTTCTTATATGGCACAGTTGCATGTATGTAATCATTTATATGGCTTCCACACCTCATATACATGACTCTCTGCTCTTTAAGGATCCACTGTCCAGTTTTCCATTCTTCACTGTCTTTTTTCTTATTCTGAATGCTCAGAGCCAGTTTCATTTGCAAGGGTCTAAAGACTGTTGCTCAGCAGTCTAGAGTATTTTAGTTTAGGGATCTTAGTTGCATCTCTTGGACTTCCTCCTCTCTTCCTGTCATCTTTCTAGAGCAGTGTTTCTTAAAGTGTTATCTTAGGACCCCTGGAGGTCCCCCAAGACCCTTTCAGGGGTCCTTGAAATCAAAATTATATGCCAGCCTATGTTGAAAAATAATACAATATTAAAATCCTGTCAAACAATCATGAGGAGTGGTAGCAGCAGCAAATTTTAATTTTTAATACAGTAAATATAGATAAATACAACCCATACAAACAAAAGCTCTTTTGGGGTCCTTCATAATTTTTAAAAGTGGGAAGGAGTCCTGAAAGAAAAAAGTTTAAGAAACACTGTTCTAGAGGATTGCATCCCCTGCTGGTTTCTTCTGTTGAAGGGGCTTCTTTCTTTGTTGCAACAAATCATTTTCATCAATTGAAATGTACCCCACCAATTGATTCATTTCTTTTTCTTTCAAGGAGTGCTGCAAATATATGCTAGGTTAAGTTCAGGCAGGAAAACAAGCATGACATAAGCATTACATATCGCAGGTTCTCATTTCTTCTTGTTCCTCAGGGTTTCACAGTAGCCAAGTACAAACTGTTAAGGAAAATGTTTTAAATCAAATCTTTGTTATGGTCATAGATCAGCTGCATAAGGAAAACGTGTTAGGAATTCACCTTCAAATTCCCCTACTGAATTCCCCAGGCAAAATCCTGTAAGTTCTCTTGCTCTTTCCATAGGTATTTTTTTAAAAAAATCAATGGTAGGTAGAATCTGGATTTGTGCTACTCTAGACAGTTGGGGGGGCCATCATATATCACATGCTGTAGTCCCTTTTTACCCCACTCCCTTTTGTGTGGCCACAAAGATGTGGAAACAAAAATGATCAGAGGAACAAAATGGATGGTCTCAATGCCAGAATGGATAATTAACCTTCCATTAAGTAATTTGCACAGGATTGGGTAGTTCATTTAGTTCCAAATTAGATAGTTATTTTGGGTCCCTCTTGGTTAATTGGTAGGGTCGTTTTCCTTTTTTCCTGTTCATGCAGTCTGCTAACAAACACTGTCATAACTCAGTCAAACGTAGCCACCGAGTTATTGCTATGCTTCTGAATTTCTAGTTAAAGTCTGAAAAAGTCTTCAGATGCCTATGTTCCTAGAAGTTTAGTAATATAGACCTTACTGGGGAATGTGTGTGACTCAGAGTTGAAATGTTAGAATCTTGGTGTTTGGTGAGCTTGGCTCCTTTCTTGCAAATGTTCCAGTACCAAATGTGTTAACGTGGTCAGTGTTCTGACACAAAGGAGTGAGATTTGCTGGCTTTTTCTGTGTGGCAGCTTGGCCTACCTGCCTCAATCAGTGTTGTGGTCATTCTTGGGCCTTTGGTTTTTTTGAATAGCTTGTAGGCCAGGTTTATGTGTGTAGAGGAGTACTGAAATAGCCTTAAAGAAAATATACAGTAGGCATTACAAAAATATCAGCTTCGCCTAAAAAGACAAGAAGGGATGAGAGAAAAACTCAAGATTGGCCTGTCTTGACTCTGTTGGGCATAAGGAAGAAGGAAAGAGAACTGTCAGGTTTTCAGTATTATAGCTTATTTCAATAGAGTTTTAGGATTTCTTGTGGTGTCTATTTCCTAACCTGATCTAGATCAGAGGGCTAACAATGTGTCTGTTAATAGCTGATCAGTCAGAATTCCACGGTTCTAGGAATTCTCCTGCATTTTTGGATTTGCCTTGATATAAAACAGTTAGTGTTCCACTTCCGTTTGTGATTTAATGTGTCTGTGTATTGTCAAATTAAGAATTTTCATCATGGCTTCTGTCAGCCAAGTGATGTTCATGGATGCCTTCTGCTAATCTTTTGCCTATTTGTCCTACATAGTAACTTTCACAGTCTTTGTATGTTCTAATAATACCTGATCTGTCTTTAATTGGTGGATCTTTGAGTTTGCTTAAGATGCTTTGGAGGGATTTCATTGATTTGTGAGCATTTCATTCATGTGATAAACTGTCCTGCACAGGAATATCGCACGGGGTGTCCCAGAGCTTATTCTGGAGTGCAGTTTCTAGGATATTTATATAGGAATATCATTCATTGAGAGAATTTGCACAAAAAATATCGTTCTGATGAGAGAATATTAGTTTATTTTGAAGGGCACAGTGTCCCAATTAGAGAGAGAATAAGAAGTGTATAATCAATAAATATAATAAAAAGTATTACATACTCTGAGTTCTCATTCAGAGTTTTGGATAAACAAAGAACTGGGAATTTGTTACTAAGTTCAACATTGTCATTGTTATAGCTTTCTACAGCACTATCTCCTTAACTTCTGATGTGTTTGTAACATTTGGAGTTGTGGATTTTTCATTTACAAGCAGTGCTGTATCTGTCATCTTTTGCTTAGGTATGATCCTACTGGACTAACAATTACGAGCTCTCTGAGTTTGTGTGCTAGTCTGGTTTACCATTTTTATTTTGTGATTTTAGAATTTGCAACAGGAGCTCCTTGAAGCCAGCAAACAAATTGATGCTTGAGAGCTAGAAAGTTACCATCTGTCCAACAGATTTTCTTTCTTCGTGTGCTAGTGCCAAAGTCTTTGTTCACTCTCTCTTCCTTCTATCTTTTGCAGTCCTCTGTTTGTGCCAAAATTATTCAGCTGCTGGGACAGAATGAAGTAGACCTTCACCAGAAACAAGTTGTGATTCTGAGCCAGGACAGTTTCTATCGTGTACTCACCACAGAGCAGAAAGCAAAAGCCCTCAAAGGCCATTTCAACTTTGACCACCCAGGTGACTTGTCATAGATTGAGAAGGGAATGGATAGTCACAGACATACCATTTAGCTTGCCTTTTAATTTCCCCAAGACAGACTTGGAAGACTGGAATATCATAGTGCTACAATCTGTTTTCTCAGAATACCAGTTTGTTGAGAAGTGGCCCAACCATGAGAAGCAGGTACCTGGGCTGGAAGATTATGGATAGCATTAAAGACTTTCAAATAGAAAAAAATTAACTAGAAAGAAAAATACACAAAATTAGGGATAATCAGATAAAAACTCACAGGACAAAACAAGCATATCTCCAACCTTCAGTTGTTCCAGAGCAGCAAAAAAAAAAAACAACATGGGAGGTTTTTGGTGGTATCTACTGTTACAAAGTTGTAGGCATTTCCATTTGATACCAGTTTCAACCATCCATTCCATTGGGGAAAGGCATTAGTATTTTCTTTCCCTCTGCAAGGTGGATACAGTAGTAAGCACTGTTTTGATGGCAGCTAAAGGCTGATTTGAGAGATTGCATAATTTTAAGGAGGTTCAGTATAAAGTTGATAATTTACCTGGATGCTAACTCTCCATCAGAAGGCCTGTCACACATTGAAAGCTGCAACGTATTAAAGGTTAATTACATCTTTACACATGATCTGTGATTCTCTTTACAGATGCCTTTGATAATGAACTGATTGTCCAAACACTTAAAGAGATCATGGATGGGAAGGCAGTTCAGATACCTGTGTATGACTTCATTTCTCATTCTCGGTAAGTTTGCTTCCTGGATATTCCCAGTCCACAGCTCAGTACTTGAGATATGATACTTTGTACTTGAGATGCTCTGCCATCAGCAGAAAGTGCCACCAAGCACCTGGTGGAGATTTTGCATCTTGTTTAAGCTCTTCCTTCTGGCTGTTAGCTCAGCCGGTGATGATCCAGCTGCTTCCCTGTGCTATTTAGCATGAACTCTGGGATCATTTGGAGATTTACTTGAATTGGTGTCAGCACCCTGATGAGTTTCAGGTGTTTCTCTTGCTTTTCTGTAGCCATAGAAAAGCATTCAAGATTTCTGAGTCAACTGTGGGGCTGCTGAATAACTTGATAAGTTTGAATAAAGGGAACTGGGACAGGCTATGTTAGTATTCTGGTGAAATTTATCTTAGAGATTTCCAGAAGAGTTTTTCCTGAAAAGGAGATTTCTGCTTTCTTGTGTTAGCATCAGGGAGCTTTTGCATTTCTTCTTATGGTATTTTTGAATTTAGTTATGGCTGCTATGTAGTGGAGAGTGACAGTGTTCTTTTCAGTATCACTCTGTAGCTGCTCCAACTTCTTGATCTGAAAACATTCTGTGAGAGGAGATTCCTCATGATATTTTTCCTTTGGATTTAATGGTTTGGAAAATCACAGGCTGTAGACTTCTGCAGAGAGGATTGTAGAAAGAAAAGACATTTAGACAGTCTTAGGTCACCTTGTAACTGAAAGATACATTTGAGCCCGTATATTACTCATGCCACCAACATTTTTCTCTAACTTTTAAAGCTGTTTCTTTTCCCCCAAATTCAATTATGTACTGAAAAAGTTGCAGAATAAATTTTGAACTTAGCAATAAGATGCATAATTGGCTTTAGATAGGTTGTGTTCTTCTAAAAAATTAGGATTGAAACTTGATCATGATACCTGGAATTCTATTTTCTAGGTTGGTATACTGTTGTATCCTTTCCTAGCTAAAAGATATTTGTCCACAGTCATTCATGTAATACCATGTGGACATTAGGCTGCAGTATATTTGAAGCTGTCTTCAGGTTCCCTTGTGAATATTACCACTGGCATATTTCCTTCCACTAATTAGTTGTACTGTGGCCAAGGAAGGGCTGGTCACTGCTGTCTTCTGTGTTAGGAGTCACAGCTTCTCCTAAGTAAATTTTTTCTGAAGATTGTAGTCCTGGATAATACTTTATATTGGCCATCTTAGCTATCTCTTGAAAAGTAGGATACATACTATACATACAGTACTATTCCCAATTATTGCCAATATTTATTCATCACTGCTTTTCCAGAAACCATGGAACTATACAGCACTTTGGTCTTAAAGGGAAAAAGGTACTTTGGAATACATGATTGTGCTTATGTTGGCAATTCCTTAAAGCAGCTGCATTTTCTCTGGGATTCTCTGCACCTGCCATCCTGTCCTGTGACAGATGCATTCAGTTTAAGGATTGTCAACATGAATACAGCCACCTGCTCCAAAGCACCTTTTGCCCTTCAAATCCAAAGTGCTGTACAGGTAGTCCTTGGTTAACAATTGCCCTGTTTAGCAACCATTCAAAGTTGGCACTGAAAAAGTAACTTTATGACTGGTCCTTGAACCTGTAACAGTTGCAGCATCCCTGTGGTCACATGATCACCATTTGCGAGTTTCACAGCCAGCTTCCGACAAGCAAAGTCAATGGAGAAACTGGCAGTAAAATCGCAAGTTGTGGTCATGTGATGTCTCATTTAACAGTGGATGACTCACTTAACGACTGCAGCGGAACTGGCGTAAGCCTGGTGTGGTCATGTGATGTCTCACTTAATGACCATGTTGCTTAGCGACAGAGTTGCTGGTCCCATTTGTGGTTGTTAAGTAAGGACTACCTGTATAGTACTGAGAGAAGTGTTTCTTAACATTTTTGGTGATTCCAAATTTTGGTTTAAGTGTGAAGTATTAAAGTTTCTTACCACTTGTTACAAATTGTACCATTTGCCCCCAAAAGATTCAGATTGTAGTCATCTCATCTGGACCAGGAAATAATTTGACTACTGCAAAGGGCTAGATGTCATCCTTTCCATAACTATATCATTCTACAACCAGAGCAAAAACAAGGTCCAGCGTTGGCCTCCCATTATCTGGGATAAGCCTATGATTACCGTGGAGCTCACGAAATTCCAGGTCCTCCTGGACTCAGCCCCTGAGCATGGAGGTTGAAGTCACCCAACACCAGCCTCAAGACTAGATCCAGCAGCCTGGGCAGGGATCAGGGTATCCAGTACATCAGCAGGGTCTCTAATGTGTCCCTACAGCCCAGCTTAACATACAGGCATTCACACTGTGCTGCCTTAAGAGCAGAGCCCCTGTTCACAGGGAGGGGCTATTTATACAGTAGTGCCAGATTTCTGTCAGGGTAACACTGTCACCCTTGACCATTTAAGTCTTTGTAACATACAAGATTTGGCTTTAAATGGAGGTGAAGTTTTCACTTTTACAGGTATACTGAAAGGAACAGGAAAGGGAAGTGGAATGAGACCTTTCTGTGTCTCTGCTCTTTTTGTCCATATTTGACTTAACTGAGCCAGCAGGGAGAAAACTTCATAAAATGGGGGGACTTAATGAAATAAGGTAGCAAATGACCCTTGTTTCCTTTGTCTGCATAGTTATTTAGCACATTTCACCACCCTGTCCATTTGATTTGGCTCTCAAAAGAAGCAGCTGTGAATGGTTAAAGTTGCAGCTATTGCAGTTGTCCAGGACACAAACTCGTCCCCTAAATGTCTATTTAAGTTAGTTTTTAATTCATTAAGACATACAGCAGCCAAACAAGCCCTAGATGAGAGTAAGGCCTAGAGGAAAAAGCATGTGTAAACAAAGAAGAATGGGTAGGCCCATCCCAAATGCAGATTGAGCCTTAGGGAAAGTAGCTGTGAAAGCAATCAGGCAAGGCTTTGAGCACATCCAAAATAAAGTAACACATTCAGTTTAATTTCCTGACAGAACCTAGACATCTGTACACTATTGATTTGTTCCTGAGTCTTTGAGTGGGATGCTTTTTTTCCCCAAACCCACACTGAACTGCCCCAGGAGAATTCAAAAGAAAAGAAGCCTTGAGCAAACTCCTCCCTGATGTTTTAATTTCAAGAATATGGGGGGTGGGGGTGGATTTGTGCTTGTTCAGGAATTTAGCTAAATGTCCCTCATGAGTTTCCTTATTAGCAGGGGAAGGTTTTCAGTTACAGTCAGTTGTGTATGGAATTTGGCTTGCTAGATATGCTTGTAACCACAGTATCTATCTATATACTACTAAAACTCTCATTGTGTTTATCCGTTTGTCTGTTTGTACCCTCATGTTAGCCCAAATGGTGCATTATACCACAACTTTTGAATCAAGGTACCTAAAATCTGCTAACTTAAAGAATGCATAAAAAATCTGGGACCCATTACTCCTGTGGAATTGAAATTTCCACAATGTTCACACCAGTTTTATTTGCAAAGTTGTGGCTGTTGCAGCATCCCTGCGGTCATGTGAATGTGATTTCCGACACTCCCTGCCAGCTTCCCACAAGCAAAGTCAGTGGGGAAGCCGGCAGGAAGTCAGAGGTTGTTCCCACTCCCACTGCTTTTTTGCCCATCTGTGGTCATTCTGTTTAGGTACAGTGGGGCAAAAAAGTATTTAGTCAGCCACCAATTGTGCAAGTTCTCCCAC